CCCATATGTATCTGTGGTGTAATGGTAGGGAGTAAATAGGAAATAGAATTGAAATATTTTGCCAGCGAGTGCCTGTGTGGAGAAAAGGGTGAATGAGTTTGGCCTAGTTTATCATTAGACAAAAAGGTAAACTGCAAACATTCAAGTTGAACTGCGGGGTGTATGCGGTATAAAAAGGAAAGCACAGTATAGTGTAACATAGGGTGTGTAAGGGATCTTGGATTAAAATGCAAAGCGTCAGTAAAGATCTTTCAAGGTGGAGGTGTTCAGAGAGAGACAACAGCTCATGGGTGACAGTGTGACAAGACTCAGGGAAGGACCTGCCACCCCTCTGTCACACTGATGGTTCCTCTGTCATCAAGAAGGTGCAGGTGGGAGAAACCACACCACCATGGAAATACAAATGAAACTAAATTTGAATGCTTTAAAAAGAACGAATGTCAGTGTCCATATCTTTAAGTTGGAAGCAATTCAGCAACTGCACAAAATATGCTTGGACAAAAACAGCGAGGGCACGTAATGCTATTAATGTGGCTTAGTCCAGAAGGGGACACTTGAGGTCAATGACGCCTTCCACAAAATATTGCTAAGAAACAACTGCAAAAGATAAAGGGGGTTGTGGGTTGCTTGTTATTTTGGATTGTACACAAAGCTCTCTGATTCCACACAGACTCAAGACACAGACCTTGGGATCTATGTGCTTTTTTTTCAGTCTGTCTATACATATTCATATACGTATGTGTGTGTGTGTGTGTGAGATTGTGTGTGCGTGTGTGTTTGTGTGTGTGAGATTGTGTGTGCGTGTGTGTCTTTTCATGCTAGAGTGGGCAGCAACAGTTGATTGGGCAGATGGCTTATGTCGTCATGGGGGGGGCAAGGTGTGTGATGGGTGGAAATGGGTCCATCTAATTACTTGTCAAGTGCGCAGCCCAGCTAGCCGCTAAAGAGCTTTCATGTGATCTATTTGCCCCGAGGGGTAATGTGAGGTGGGGCTGGGGTGCAGTGGGGTCCAGTGACTTCCTAGTGTTACATGACCGGGCCAACTGAGCAGGTGCTGCCGCTCAATGTCCATGGGCTCATGTTTACACTACACATTCTCTCCAAATGATTTTTGTGCCACAAGTCTGGCACACAAATATATGAAATCCCTGTTTCTATGCTGTAGTTCTTTTAATGTATGCAATAAAGCAATGTTTAGAACATGTTTCCTTGGTAGTCTTTAATGACAACATCCAAATAAAAAGCAAATCTTACCAAGGTGACCAGGACTGCAGTGTTAATGATCAGTCTTCAAGCTGTTTTTTCTTTGTCAAAACTGTTGGAAATCAAAGTGGGACCCTGTCGGTATGATTGTTTTCTAAACCAAACCCAGCCATATCTAATATATCTGTATTAACAGTGTCTTCCTCTGTCCCTTTATTTTCCCAGTATGTGCTGGTACAGAGAACAAGCTGAGCACACTGTCGGACCTGGAGCAGCAGTACCGCACCCTGAGAAAGTACTACGAGAACTGCGAAGTCGTAATGGGCAACCTTGAGATCACAAGCATCGACCGCAGTCGGGACCTCACCTTCCTAAGAGTAAGGACTAAACAAAATAATACAGTAAACTGGTTGTGAATTGTATTTGCACAGGTTTTGCGGTGATTCGTTGTGCTTGATTTATTTGAAAAGCTTTAGTTACATGTTGTCAGTTAAATATCTTAAATATCATGTAACTGAAGTGATTTTGACCCAAATATCACTGTCAGGCTGGTGGTTGGAGAAGGCTATAGCCACTGACAGTCTCAGCTTCACAAACAGATACAACGTTATCCCTTCTGGATTGGTTTGCATCAAGTAGACAGAATGTACATATATTTGTGTTACTCAAATGATTAATGGAATCGGGAGTCTTGAAACTAATTGAAATAGCTGTTGAGAGCCAATATTGCACCTCTGTATAGCTGAAGACAAAATTGTTTTACTGCATTTAGAGTCATTGCATTTCCCTTTTACAGTGGTAAAAACAAATCACTTCCTTACCAATATTTCAGTAAAAGATCATACCATATCATATCATCACCATACTTTATGGTAATTACATGAACATGTGACATTTCTACAATGTTTTTAGTATTCAGTACATAAGAATAACCATCCAAACATCCGCATCTCGTTCGTTCAAGCAATTGTCTAAATATGAGTAAAAAGTTCACTGTGAACTTCAGTCTTCTCATTTGACCTTGTTGCCCAGAAAATGCCCTGTGCTTCAGATCTTTTTCAACCAATCAGCACTCAGATTAGTGCCTATATAGCCAATGATAAGCAGCAAGGAAAGTTGTTCTAATCATGGGTAATCAGACTTCCCCTCTTCTCAGAGTGTCTAACTGATTGTATGCTTGCACCATTGTGGTCTGAGGCATAGAATAATCAAAATCCAAATAACTTGATCTGACTAATCTCCCTTTTGATGAAACATGATTCGCAGACGGAGAAGGGAAGCGCTGCAAAACTGAACATGAATTCCTACCTTTCAGAAAATGTTCAGATATTTATGAGCAATTTTTAAAATCCTCTTATTCCTAAACTGAGCATGTGAGCCAACTGATTCAGGCTGTCTAAGAGAGGTTCATGTATGTCTTATGGTAGTATCTCTAGCACTATCCACAATGGAATGTGAATGTTGTGTGGGTGAGAAAGCTGCTTACCTTCATTTTGATATAATGGACACATGCATATACACACAAACACAGTGTTGGGGGATGACAGCCACCAGCCCTTCAGGGGCTACAGGAGTAATAATGTGGTAATGAAATGTCAGAAAAAGGCAAGAGAAGGTACTGTACTGAAATTTTAAGAGAAGAAAAGCAGCCTTTTTTTGTGTCTTTTTTTCTGTGAAATCAGCTGTTACTGTTGACCTTTGTTGGCCCCCCACTTCTTAAGAACATCACCCTAGACCATTCTGGCTGCACTCCACACAGCTAACGCCATCCAACTCCAATTGATTCTAGTCTATCTGGGGGGCTTGGGGAGTTCCCTTGGTGTTACGCTAAAGTGCTGACTGCATTAATGGGCCGGTATTGCTGTGCAAATGAACTGGGCTATCCAGGCTTTGCAGAAAAGGCAGTCCACCAACAAGACAAGCTGTGTTCTCATATTTTGCTCCTTACAGCAATGATTTAAAGTTAATATGACAAAATGGTTTGTAAACATCAGGTAAAAGTAATGGGACAGCTAGTCTCCCTATGTGTATTTACTTTGTATGGACCGACTGATCAAGATGGATCAAAGCAGCAAAATAAAACAGTCATTAAGTGTTCTACAATGTGCAGAGCAATACTAGCAATACCCCCTGTGACGCAAAACAAAAACAAGATGATATTAAGAAAGAGGGAGCGATAGATGGTAATGTGTTACCATTAGACCCCTGCAGAGGTAATAGGCCCTTGTGACTCAAATGAAAAAGGATGGTGGGGGGGAGAGATGCAGTTCAAAACCAAGTGTGATTGTTGTTTAACTACACATAACCAATGTGTACTTTAAAACAACATTCACAGTCCCACTTAGGTGTTGTGGTTTGCATTTCACAATGTCTCATCTATTCAATCTAATATCAAGTAAAGGCAATCCTTTGCAGGTTGAGGTTACAGATGCTTTTGACTGCAATCCCCTCTTTACCTGGCTCCTTCCGCATTACACCACCACTCATTTACAGAAGGGCTCCCTGTGGCACCAACTTTCCAGGTTCCTCCACCTTTCCATGGTTGGCAATTAACGTGGGTTAATTGAAGATGCTAATTAGGAACACAGGGTGCCATACAGCAAGGGAGCAAGAGGGCAGGGTGCAATGTGTATTTTTAGGGAATATTATTATTATTATGATAAAACACATTAATAACATGCTTCCCCGGGGAGGGAAAAATTTCACCTTGAGGTAGAGAAGAAGGGAAGGAGTGAATAAGAAAAAACTATTGTGCAGCAGCTTACCATACCACCTGTCTCTGGGAGGTGATTGAAACTGATGCCTGTGCATTGGCTCCTTCTTTTCAAGATAGCCAAGAGATTGATGGCTGCCTCCCAAAGCCCCTCAAACAGCTTTAGCAGTAAATAGAGTCCATCTTCCAAACTGCCTCCAAGACAGATGAATCAACGCTCACACTGTGATTAATAACTGAATTTCAGCAGTGAGGTTTTTTATCCCCACTCTCATACATGCACATTCAAACCAACAGCCCAACAGTGAGCTTTAACCACACGCAGTGTTGACATTGTCAATGATTAAATCACTCCTTAATCCATATTCTTGTTCCTTTAAATCTTTTTCTCATATTATAAGCAGAACATAGATTTGTGTCCGAATGCATTCACGCGCAAATTGTACCCACCTCAACATATTTTAGGGTGAAGTTTTCCTTTTTGTGAATAGAACACAGAGGGAAGCAAAGACACACTTTGGCATCCCTCTTTTCCCTCATGTCACTTTCTCGCATGCACTCGTAAACCAAATCTGTGATTATGAAATATTAATTTTACCCTCTCCTCCCCTCGTCCCAGTCTCAGTAGGAACTCACAGCCACACGGTCAGATTGGATTGTTTGTCTTGCCATTGCAATCATTAGTAAACATGTAATTTTCTCCTCAATATTAATGTGGTGATCAGATTGCTTGCAAGCCCAGCACCAATTCACTGACTCCCCACCTCTGTCTCTGTAGTTGCAAATAAATTATGGAATTATCATTTACAAATAACATTTAATAGTTCAACCGGCCTTGTGTTATTAGTGTAAGAAAGGAGTAGAGAAAGTTTAAATGAGGGTAGGGATCTGAACAGACAACATTTTGCATTAGAGATGATTAGGATGAGAATACCTTACATAATGAGTTTTTTTTTTAAGGATTGCACTGTACAGTCATTTGTATTTACTGGTCACTTGTTAAATTCAGTATTTTAGTGTTTCACAAAGGCAGAGGCTGCATGGTTACGTTAATCATGCCCTAATGCCTATACTAAAGGGGGCTTGTTGGAAATGAGGGTGGTGGTCTGTTAATGTGGCCCTTAGTGACACTTGTGTGAAGTGTTCACTTGACCTTATGCCTGTTCAAAAAACTCAGCTACCATAGTGATGCATACCAGATGGAAAGCACTGTGAGAGCACCAGTGAGCAGTAATAACAGAGACTACAGGGGGACTAGTGATTAAATATGTCTGGTTACTTAAGTTAGCTAATAAAACACTGTTTTAACAGGTCAGAAGCGTGTATCTACATGCAAACAAATCTGCTCAATCTGTCTAATTATTTTTTTTTCTATGGCACAGTAGAGAGTAGCTCTGAGAGAGGAAATGTAGGCAGCAGAAGTGACCTCCCTCTTTGCACTTTCAGTCCAAGTTGTCCTGACCCTGCTTTTCTTTAGAGTGAAGGGGGCAATTTTGGGTTAATAGGGGTTCATAGGGGGATCACCTCCTCAAATAACACAAGCAATACAAAATTTTGTGGTCAAGGGAGTGCAGAAGATCTGACCTCAGATGATTTTCTAACATTAACCTTAGAGTGATCCAATGTTTTGGTCTCCTACACAAACACAGAACACACTTGCTCGTGAGAGTGAGAGCCATCACAGAAATATTATGCAACTCCCCAATCCCCAACAAGATTTACAGCAAGTTCACTGAAGGTCATAAAAAGGAAGTTTTGATAAAAATAAAAAATAAAATAAGTATAAGATTACACTGTTGACTCTTGATGGAGGATTAAAAGGCATATTCCGACACAGATATGTTGTTTAAGTGTATTATTACTCACTGAAACTCAACAGTCCATTAAGGCTTACTAATGCATCTCTTTAAGTTTATAGCTCACTTGGTAAAGCATAGGTTTGCCAGAGGAGGTGACCTAACCATCTGGGTCCATGGACAACAACCAAAAACCCTGCTGTGGCATGACCAGCCGGCACTTGTATTGGCTGCATATGTTTGTGTGTGTCTGTGTGTGTGTGTGTGTGCCGGGGTCATAAATTCATGACAAATCATCAGTTCATCTTTCTTCTCTCACCAATTTTATTTTCATATACTCAAGCTGTAAGCTAGGCTCACAATGACAGACTGATTGCTGGTTCATAAATTGTGACTGAGTTGACCTAACAAATTAACATTATGCCACCTCCAGGTACCTGTCAGACATATATCAGAGTTCCAATTTATGCCTAGGGGGACGATAAAAAAAGAATACAAGTTATGATTATGTCAGCGGCTGATTGTAAAGTGTTGGACACAATAAAAGTAGTTGTATGTAATAGATCAGCAGTCACCTCATTATGCAGTGATTCATTGCTTATTTATTTATTGGGGGGTTGATTGATTTTTTAATGAAGTACTACATGCATGAAAAGGTAAAGTTATATAAAGTAAATAAGGAAACTGACTCTTTAAATAGTATACAACCCATTACTAATACTGCTGACATCTATTATTACCACCTGATGAGTGATTCATATGCAGCTTGCTGTTGTTAAAAAGTTACACATGAAGTTGCCTTCACATGCAATTTCCCACAGCATTTGAAAGCAGCATCTATTCCTGCACTTCTCCAGTCCCCGTCTTC